AGTCAAAAGTATGTCATCTTAGTTTAGTGGTATAAAAAAATGCTATTTCGAGTATTTCTTCATAGGTTGAAAGTTACTTGAAACTTTACGATTTGATTGTTGGAATTGATGAAAGAAATATTTCGAAGAAATAAAAAAGTGTAACCGAGCGATTATAAAATACTAATTAACAGTTGTCAGCGTAAGGCGATGTTATTAGAGCGGTTAATGAGAACAAGAGCGTTTTTGATTAATAAGATGTCACGTCATTGTCACGATTAGAACGTCAATTTTTCTTTACATTCAACCAATGGAATTGATGAAAGAAATATTTCGAAGAAATAAAAAAGTGTAACCGAGCGATTATAAAATACTAATTAACAGTTGTCAGCGTAAGGCGATGTTATTAGAGCGGTTAATGAGAACAAGAGCGTTTTTGATTAATAAGATGTCACGTCATTGTCACGATTAGAACGTCAATTTTTCTTTACATTCAACCAAGTGATGATCAGAGAACTAAGAGTGATCTTCGAATGAACTTGAATGATGAACTTGCAGCGATCTCTTATAGAATGAAGGAATTTCAATAAAACTTTTAGCGTTTGTCATGTTTGGAGTGTTGCGTGAATCGTCACAACGGACATCAACTGAAAACGCTGGATGAACTGGAATATTTGCATCACAAATTAATAAATGATCTCAAACAGTTGAATATTAGAATACAGGTATTTTTTCAAGATTCGGATGGATTTAAGTCGTTTGAATTCTAATAAGTTTCGGATGAATTTGATGAAAGTATTTTTGACATATACATATATGCAAGAGTACTTGTGAGTTGCTATCAAATGATTGATTTACAACTCAAACAAAAAGAAAATCATTGAGATTTTGGTTGCAGGATGTTGGTGAGCACATCGAGAAGACGTTGAAAGAGCTGAAGAACGAATCAATTGCACATCTTGATTGTGGCACCTTCAGTGAAGCTAAACAGGTCAGTTGAAAAGCTCGTTAGATCTCACCCAGTAAGGCATTTGATCGACGAGGCCAGCAAAATGATTCCTTCTCAACTTTTCTGAGGATTTTTGCAGTGGTACAAAGATATGCTACTATCAGACTGAAGATGATTTGGAGATTTTTTAACGGAGAAGTTAATTGAACGAAATGTCATAATCATTTAATGAGAGTGATTCTATAAGTGATGATATAATAATGATGGTGATGAGATAGTAATAATAGGAGGAATATTAATAGGTTTAGTAATAATACGAATAATAATAGCACTCAGTAACGAGTCACGAACAAAGACCACAAGGTCGTATGCCAACATTGTGAACGATCAAATTTCTTTGTCACAACGCTTTTTTGAACTCATTTCTTTGATTTCTTATTGTCCTTTCGTTTCTTTCCTTCCGAAATCTGAGTCAGTTTCTCACGCTCTGGAATTTATTTTTGTTGTTGCGGTAAATTAAAGTGATTGATTAAATTGGTTTCATATTAGCGGACAAAGATAGTTGAAATATGTGGAAAATGATGTTAAAGTCGTTAATTTTATCACATGACACCTGCATAAAGTATTTTCTGCATATGAGATTCATCCAAAAATACGATTCCTTTGTGTTAAAATAAGAACAGCTGCAGTAGAACTTGTGAAGTAAGAGGCATGACGAAGCATGAGAATACCAAGGGATGCATGACGGATTATAGAAACACGAAAGAGAAGTTATGGAAATGGTTATACCGAAGTTTATGGGATAATTTATTTGATTTATCGCGATGTCAACTTGTAAGGTACAATCGCTTGTCTCATAGTTAGTTTTAGTGCGCCTTAATTAGGCTTTGTCCCATGTGCATTCCACTCGCACAAAGGTGCATTATTTCTGTCAAGCACAGTATCATCACTTGACTGAGACGAATTCCTTGGATAGCATCAATAAAATGCAATAATTAGGTTGAAAAAGTACTATTTTTGGAGAGCAAATTCAATTTGTTTGAAGAATGCCGCTCGAATCCCGTTTTCAATTATAAAAATGCTGAAACGATTGAGCAATTTCTTCGAACGATAACAAATGAGTTGTTTTCACCTGAATGAAGATGATGAGAAATTGATATGATGGTGATGCATGAGCATTCGTATTTCCGGTGGCGATTTCATAAGAATTTTTATTAGTTCGTGTTTCTATGAACTAATAAATTCGTTTTTGTATGATGATTTGTGGGCATTGCTATGGAAACGTTGGATTAGATTTTCCTATCAGATACTTGGAAAAGTCTTTCTTCGATCGGCTATTGATTGAGAAATTAAATTGTTTAGAAAAAGAGTTGAGAAAAATTAGAATTGTTCGGAGATCTTGTTCCAAAGATTTCCTGCCCAAATGATTCAGCTGATGCAATTTTTCAGGCTCTTCTGAGCGAATGTGAACGAGAATTGAATTTTGCTTTCTCTATACTGGAGAACGCTGAAACCACTCCGCTGCCTCCTGCGGTGATCACCAAGATGCGACAGCAACACTTCAGAAATAGTGCGAAATTGTACAAAATGCTGAATTTCATTCAGGTTGGTCGACTTAATTCCTTGTGATGAGGATGTATCAGTTAAGAGATTTTTATTTTTTTCAGTGATCTGACTTGAAATTCTTACATATTTCCTGTTTTTGGTACATTGAATGAAGGAACTCCCCGGGAATATGTTTTAAAAAATCTCAATGATTGTGCACAAAAGCTTGAAGCGAGCGAAAACCAAGATTGTAGAGCATTTCTTAAACGGGAAAGTTTAGTTGAAGTTGGATTGGACGTCTGTAGATTTGAATTGGAATTGCATGAATACANTGCCTTGCAAAGATATGATATCAATAAATGAATATTTGATATCCGTATGATGTGAATTTGATGTACTGATGATCGAATAAGTCTATCACGGTGCAATGACCGTGAGGCCATCGTTGTTGCCAGTTTTGAGGATGGGCTTCTAGGTTACAGAAAGGTGTTAAGTCAAATTAAGGTTTCGATTCAGTGATATCAAATAGGAGCGTTGAATGGAAGGTGATTTGTGAATGTGAGATTATTTGGGTGACTGATCAATCAGCGATTGTATTCGATCATGTAGTGATCGAAACTTTGATCAGGTCGTATTATTGAGATCAGAATTGTTTCATGTGGGTGGATTAAAACGTTTCTTGGATGGGAAAAATGGAGTTATGGTTCTTATTTTGTTGAATGCTCTCGTCAGTTTAGCTAAATTTTGATATTATTTTAGAAGTGTAAAGAGTCTGTGAACGAGCGTGAAGGCCGACATTGCAGATTAAAAACAAAAGGTAAGCTGATGAGCTTCGTTATAATCGTATTGATGAAAAATATTTTAGGCGATTCATTAACAAATTATCAATCGTTGTGGTATTTCAGTGTAGATAGAATAACTGCTGCGATATTACAGCTCTGAAATCGTTCAGGAATTACGTTGATTCTTCAGAAATTTAACGTTCCAGCAATAGGAAAAGATGTGTGATTAATGATGGTTTCAGTGTGATTTTGATACGAGTGAATATAAATCAAATAAATGTGGTCATGGTTTGAGTACGGTTGTGGTTTCGTGATTGATAACGATAACGACCTTGAGATGACACATAGAGATTAGTAGTGAGAGACGGCATTCTTATCTTGAATTTGGTAGTGCTTTGGAAATATGTAGTAACATGGCACGAGTACTTCGCATCTCTGATGAATGTTTCGAACTGATAACCACAAAAATTACAAATGCAAATCGCATTTTTTCTTTTCAGATATAAATCTGACTGTGTAAATGACAGCTTCGGTGAAAATTTTCGAATATAATCTGTACTGAGTGATTAATTATCAGTTGTTTTTAAATACGAGGAATGCGCTTGCCATTGAAATTGCAGAAATATTATCGAAGTAATTTGTGAGTTTGATGAATGAAAATGGATATTTTAAGAGATTTTTCTTAGATATTCGATTTGATAGACTGATAATTTGTTTTTTTTGTGTATGAAACAAGTTGATGATTGTTTGATAGTAACAGCGCGTGGTGGATGTCATTCAAATTAGCAACTTGACTATTTCAAGTGACAGTTGTGGAGAAATTTTTGGGTGATTTATTGAGATGAATAACAACGATATGATTTATTTTGGTTCATTTTTTGATGATTTGTGAAGGAACAATATGGCCTCAACAAAATATATAGAGCCCTTCTCGATTCTTTCTTCTTATGATGAGTACACATTACCCCCCACATGTGATCGGATCTCACACATAGGCAAATGAGTCGCGTTGGCTGCTGCACTTAAGCTTCAGCGATTTTCCAGTTCGGTTCATGTCTCATTCCCGTTCACCACTGTTTCTGTTTCAGTGATTCCATCTCTAGCAAGCACAACGTCAACATCAAACCTAACCTCAAGCACTACCCAAATGTCAGCAGGGCAACGCAGTCAATCCCGAAAAAATCTTGATATGGAGGCCGAGTATGGGACGGCTGCGGATTCAATTGCGGCATTGATAACGATTGGAAATTTTGGTCGGGAGGTGAATCGCCTGAACGAGCCGTTGAAAGTGCTGACAAGGAAGCAGTCGAGCATGTTGGAAAGACGAGACGCATTCTTGGAATGTGCAAAACAGTTGAAGTATTGGATCAGCGAGTAAGTTCTTCGATTTGAGTTTACTTTCCGAACTCGTTGATTCATTTCAGAATGTGGATGAATTTTGAATTCTAGTTTATGATACCAAATAAATGATCTCATCTCAGCGACGTCTCAAGTTAGATGAAGTTCATCTGCTTTACTCAGAAGTTTTCCCGTGGTTCATTTTTTGTGTAATTTATGTTTTTTACACTGAAACCTCATCTTGTTGTATTTCAGTGATACATCCAAACAAGTTTTACTGCTATTCATTGATGCATATTTGAACATATTCTATCAGTTGAATCGTTTGGTGAGCAAATATCCACGCAAAGAAGATCCGGTTCGGCGGAGGGATGTTTGGAAATTGGTTCAGATTGCCTATACGGAGCTTTTAAGATGTGCAAGTAAGGTGAGCGGGCAATCATCACTCTCGATATTTATCATGTTTTTGAGAATATCATAGGCTTAGGCTTGTTGTTGTTGTGATGTTTGTGAATTTTGATTGTGAGATTGGACATATTGTGGTATATCTATGAATGGATTAGGAACTTGTTGATTTTGGGTGGAATCCGGAATTTATCGCTAATATTTCCTTACGAACGCAACACAGAGGGATGAGCGAAATGCAGAAATATATGTGAAGTGAATGAAACTGATGGAATGTTGTGTGTGCAGGAATAAAACTAGGAAAACAGTACGAGAATTAGACACGAGAAAATTGATGAAAGATTGTAAGAAGTGCGTTGAAGGTGCTTGAACGTTGTTCGTACGTTACGTTCAGCCGAGTTGAACTGTTTTTATATGATTCGAAAAATTGGACTTTCGGAGAACTTCATCGAAATCAAAATCAAAGAAGAGGAACTTGATGAGGATTTTATTCAAATCTATCTATTACGATCGTAATCGGAGAATTGGAATTTTAAGTTGAATCTAACGAAAGTGTGATTATCGTTTCATAATTTAATTCAAATTTCATCGGAATTTCAATTGATCAAATAAATCTTTGAAAAAAGTCACGCAATGAAGATGAGAAATAGATTAGTTGCGAGACGGAATGAATTCCACAACGGCAAGATGCCATTCACAATGATGTATAGCCACTGAGCATGGTTCAGTTTGAAGTTTTGAGGCAAGAATTATCCCATCGGCGAGAGAAACGTTTCAATTTCAGCATTGGCCAAGTCAGCATCCAGATCGAGTAGACTTAGTGGACGATCTGGCATTTTTATGTTCGTTGTATTCGGATGTTTGCGATCAAGCCACAATTACAATTTGTATGATTGAAGCGGCAAGGGCACGAGCAGCATCAGACAGCCTAGCTGAAGAGGAAAAACACGGTCAACAGCTCAGACTTAAAGTGAGTCAGGAATAGACTCTTTTTTCGTATCTTCCTATGAAGTCCTCGTGAGATGACGTTTTAATGTTATATGAGGTTGTTTTCAGGCTTATTTTGGTGTACACTATTCATGCATTTCATTTTTCAGTTAATTGATGAACACTTACTGGAGTGTCGGCGAATACAAAAATTATTGGAGCTGAGGTCGACCCGAACTGCGTCCTCAAGCCAAGGTCGCTTCAGGAGATTGAAACGTTGGTGGCTGAGAATTGCTGCTGTTTTTGGGAAGAGGAAACTGCTGGGATGATGCTGAAGATATTTGCTGGAATATAAAAAAACATTGTATATATTACGGTGATATAATAATTTTCATTGCGATGTTATTATTGATATGGTTTTATTAAATTATTATATTGGTCATGTTATGTATTGTCATCATACTGATTGAATTTGTTGAGCTCTGAAATATTAGGAAAGTATCATTATTCTCGATTGTATTAACCTTCATTATTACTGCAATCAGTATGACTGCTATTATTACCGTTCAGCACAAACACTAATAATAAAACAATTATTTAATCTTGATGAAATACCAATAAATCCCCACGACAGTTTTCGAAAAAAGCGAGATTAAAATTGACATTCTGCTCAGTGGTACGCTTATAGTGTCAATTTTGCTTGAGTGCATATAAAAAAGTTAACTGGGTGACGCAACGAAC